TGTGCTCGTGCATGTTGCGCTCAGTTTCACGTTCATTCAGATGTACAAAAGAATACGCGTGAGATTCGGCGTACGCAGTGTTTCATACATCTGAATTTTTTTCTGCGTACGCACATTTACAGCTTTGTGCGTACGCAATGTTTTAGTAAGATTTCCACGCAAGTCTTCGTACATGAGGCCCCATGTCCATCCCTTTATGACTACAGTGTACTCTTTTTCTGAAAGCTACTTCCAACAGGATGTCCATGTCATAAAGCGTAAATCATCTCAGACTGGTTTCTTGAACATGACGATGAGTTCACTGTACTCAAATGGCCTCCACAGTCACCAGAACTCAATCCAATAGAGCACTTTTGGGATGTGGTGGAATAGGAGTTTCACATCACGGATGTGCAGTCGACAAATCTGCACTGTGATGCTATCATGTCAATATAGACCAAAATCTCTGAGAAACATTTGCAGTACCTTGCTGAATCTACGCCACGAAGGATTAAGGTAGTTCTTATGGCAAAAGTGGGTTCAACCCAGCACTAGTAAGGTGTACCTAATAAAGAGGCCAGTGATTTTGTATTTATTTATTTATTTGTTTATTTGTTTATTAATATTTGCATTAAGTCTACATTATTACAAAAACTTGAGAGGGTTCTAAGGTGCCTTCATAAATACATTGGAATAATGAGAAGTTTCTTAATAATAATATTAATATCAATTATAATGATAATGTTGCAGCATCCGCATCCGCAGTGTAAAACATGCTGGATAAGTTGGTGTTTCATTCTGCTGTGGCGACCCCGGATTAATAAAGGAGCTAAGCCGAAAAGAAAATGAATAATGATAATGATAATTCAACAAAATAAGAAACATAAAAAATATTGGTGAAGAAATAAGCAATCTTAAGGAATAATTTTTTTAGTTTTATATTTTTCAAGTAGCATTTAACAGATTTTTTTAATATAAAATCATGAACAAATGATCAATAAACTAACTAAAAAAATTATGAGGGCTGAAAGAGTTTATTCTGCTACTAACACACACACACACACACACACACACACACACACACACACACACACACACAGAAAGATGAACTGTCCAAATACTTGAGTAGGACACATTTGACCGTGTGGCTGTTTTCATGACCTCGTGTCTCATTTAGATTCAGCTTTAGTTTCCTAATGATGAATGGGGGTTTAGTTTTATGGAGTGATATTGTACGCGATGGGAAAGAAATAATTGTTTTAATTCGTTAGCTCAGATGTTCAGCCAGTGCTCCGTCCTCTGCCTGTGCATGCCGGAAATGAGCTGGACGCAAACACTGTAAACCAGACGGCCAAATTAACCAAATCAGCATCACTAATCAACACGCCGGAGCCAAAGCCTCAGTCACACACAGACACACACACACACACATATTAATACACGCGCGCACGTCAGCAACAAATCTGCAGTTTAATAGATGGAATTATGGGATTACGTGCGCTTGACTGAGCCGTCGGAGAGGTGATGTTATGGGCTGTTTTCTCTGAACTCTGCTCTGTGGGTGCTCATGAAAAAGCTCTCATGTGATACGAGGTCAGAGGATTATTTCAGCCACATTTTTTAAATTCACTTCATAAGGAACAAACCAAAATAAACAGCAACTTCAAACCTGAAAAAAATACTGGTGTCTTATAAATATGCAAATGTTAATATTTTAATAAACTTGATTTCTGTGCAGTTGAGAACTAATTCTAAACTAAAACTAATCTTTTTTTTTTAACTTGGAAGTTAGCCTGTTTTGTTCATTAAAAATATCGGGATAGATGTAATATTGCATTTGCTTACGCCTACATTATTTTCGACCATTAAATAATAATTAAAAGGCATATTTCAAATCCATGTTGAGTTTATTTATTCATTTATTTTCCTACGGTTTAGTTCCTTATTTATCAGAGCTCACCACAGCGGAATGAACCGCCAACTTCCAGCATGTGTTTCACACAGCAGATGCTCTTCCAGCTGCAACCCAGTACTGGGAAACATTCAAACACTCACACACACACACACAAATTGGCCAATTTAGTTTATTCAATTCATGTCTTTGGATTTTTGGGGGAAACGGGAGCACCAGAATGGGGAAGTCCCAGAGTAAAATGAGAAAATATGATACATCAGTGTTTTAACATGGAAAACCGTCTTTACGCTGTTTTCATCTGTTTTTATATAATTTGTTTTTATTTTATTTATACTTGTCTCTTTTATTACTGTTTATGTAAATCACTTTGAATTGCCACTGTGTATGAAATGTGCTATATAAAAAATTGCCTTGCCCTGCTTTATTTTACATAATGTATCTTTTTTTTATTATTAGAAAATTATGTTAAATAACTAATTATTTTCTATTATTACATGAATAAAAAAAACATATTTTGGTATACATTCAAGTTTTATATAAAATATATTGATGGATATTTTTATAAACAGTTTTATTAATAACATAACTGAATGAATATCATTAATTAATTTTTTGGAGTTTTTTTTGTTTCATCTGGATCCAGTAAAATAGCTAATCTGATTTTTTGTAGAGTTTCTTTTGTTTATTTTGTTTCCAAATTAAAAAAAAATCTAAAAATACTAAATAAATGTACATAGATTTTATATAAAACATGAATATTAAAATATAAGCTATTTTGATTGATTAATTATTAGTAATCTAATAATTAATAATAATTATTAATTTAACAATTATATTTGATTATAATTATTATTTTTATTACACTGTATGTATAATAAAAATTGCATACATATAACATAAATGTATATATATATATATATATATATATATATATATATATATATATATATATATATATATATATATATATATATATATATATATATATATATATATAGATATATACATGAGATCAACAGAGAGAAGCTCCTTCAGCTCTCCCTTGCTCTGTCTGTATCTCTCTCTCTCACTGTCTGAGTATGTGTGAGAGAGAGTGATAAACACATCCATCGCTCTCTCTAGCTTACTGGGTCTGACAGACACAGAGAGACTGAGAAAAACAGACATAATCTGTTTATATCGCCCTCTCCCTCTCTAATCCAGTCAAAAACGCACACACACACACACACACACACACACACACACACACACACACACACACACACAGATGATGCAGTGTGTGATGAGAGCGCACCATGAAGTCTGTGGCGTTGGAGTTATCGTGTCTGAGGTACAGCGGGTCCACAGTGAACGTCTGCTGGAGCTTCATCTTATTCTTCACCCTGCGCACACACACACACACGCACACACACACACACTTTAGTAATGTAGTCTGCTCAGATTAGCGCTGCTCTTGATCTGTACGTTCATCTATGATCATGTTTCTAGCACTGATAATGATCATCAACAGGTCTTGATCAGTAAGTCCTGATAATACACTGATATCTGCAGACTGAAGCTGAACACACACACACACACACACACACACACACACACACACACACACACACTGCTGAAACATACACACACACACACACACACACACACACACACACACACACACACACACACACACACACAACTCATACACTACGGCCAGTGTAGTTGATCAGTTCCCCTATAGCGCATGTGTTTGGACTGTGGGGGAAACCGGAGCACCCGGAGGAAACCCACGCCAACACGGGGAGAACATGCAAACTCCACACAGAAACACCAACTGACCCAGCCGAGGCTTGAACCGCAACTCAGAGACCTTCTTAGAGGGATGGTTCTAGCGCGGTCATCATTTCTCCAGGACATGATATGGGGATACGGGGGAGACTCCCAGAGCTTCCAGGACACTTGGGATGTCCATTTCCTTATTTAAAAAAATCTACAACAGCAAACTTCTGGAAAGTGTGTGTGTGTGTGTGTGTGTGTTTGCCGTCTCTCAGGTGTGTGTTGTTGTTCTACAGGAGGAGCTCCGCTTGACGGGAACCTTCAAACAGGTGAAGGTGCAGCTGGTGCAGGAGGGCTTCGACCCGAACTCCACCCGAGACCGGCTCTTCATCATGGAGGAGAACCAGCAGACGTTTGTGCCGCTGACGGAGGAGATCTTCAGCGCCATCACTG